ATTTGTACAGTGTCCCAACTTTTTTGGAATCAGGTTTGTACTTCTAAAGCATTTATTAAGCTTAATGTTGATTCCTACATTTACATACAGCGTTTCTTTAAAATCATGGTTTTAGCTACTGCAAATAAAACCAAAAAACCTTGGCTACTATAGTTAAACCATGGTAACCACAAATTAAGCATGGTTTTGCAACACTGGTTATACAAATGTTAGGGAAGACACACAATATAGGCCTATGAAAATACACATGGCACTTTGCATTGCTTTGTAACTGGTTCATGGTATAATGAGAGGGAATTTGGACTATAATTGAGTGACTTTGTGCCAATTCGTGCCTGGTCAGCCGGTAAATAACTGTATCTGACCAGGTATGCTGGCATCCGAGCCACAACAGAGCGCAGACACGTCAAGTCCGTCCTGAGAAATGCATCCGCAGCCCCGTGAGGAACTGAAAAAACCCACACACACTCGTGAGTGAAGCTTCGCGATTAATGTTCACTCGAGCGTCAGTGTTTAGAAACCATTCAAGTGCGAATGCAAGTGTCCTGAGCACATTAAAGGGGTCATATGATGCGATTTCAATTTTTCCTTTCTCTTTGGAGTGTTACAAGCTCTTGGTGCATAAAGAAGATCTGTAAAGTTGCAAAGACTAAAGTCTCAAATCCAAAAAGATATTCTATATAAAAGTTAAGCTTCGTCATGCCTGCTTTTTTGGGCAGTGTAGAGTAGGGCTTGTTATTTGTCATTTCTCCGATCACAAATGCAGACATGGTTTTATTTTTACATGGTGCGATGCAACGCAACGCGTAAAAAGACAGTATGAGTCATTATAATCCATAATTATGTCCCCACTGGATGCAACAAATGCCTCGTTTATAATGGGTTTTAATGTTTTTGTCTCGTCGCTCCGGCCGGACAGGGCATCACAGTATGGTAAGGGGCGTAAATGTTTTTTTAACCTTAAACCGCATAAACACATTTAATTACACCAAATACACAAAATAATATTATTTTTAGCAACATCATATGACCCCTTTAAGTAAGTCACGTATACTTTTACTTTGGAATTCCACTGCTGGGAGCACAATAAAAAGACTGAAATGTTTAAAAGATCAAAGACTAAATATCCAAAATGAAAATAAATCAAATGAATGTGAATCGACGCGCTTGGCCAATTCACTGTAAAGAAAGGACTCAGAAGAAGAATTATGAATTTGCAAAATAATGGTCTCACTGGTTCAGTCGTCAGAGCAATGTGACATACGCACATAATAACTGATGAAATATTTCCAGGGAAAAAGTGTCAATACTAAAAATTACAGAAAAATGTCCAGCAACAGAGCCATTGGCTGATGCCATATCACACTTCCAGCTGATATTAAAATACATACCTCTGTTGTTTTGTGACAACACATTTGCAATTTAAGATTAATATTAAAAGGTTAATAATAATAAACTGAGCATTTTAACTTGATAATGAAGTCCATGACAATGTGGCAAAATGAAAGTGCTGCACCAACTTCCTGTTTCTATAGACAGCATGAAATAAAATTGTCAAACCATTTCAGTTTTGTTAACTTTAGGCTGCTGTATTGGATTCCTGCATCTGTCAAATAATGAACAATATGCTGTTTTGTCAGATGTGTGAATCACAATCATCTTAGCCTTTGTAACATTGTTAAAATGTCACCATATGGTTGCCTGTCAGCACCATTTCAACGCCTCTATTTTTATACTAATTGTCTCAGAATGTTTCTAATTCTCATATCTACATCTAACAAGTTTGATTTCTCATCTTCCCCATCTTCATAGATGAGCTGAGTTACACAGCTCATGAACAAATTATTTGTTTTCTCATATCTTGTAAAGAATCTTTGAATTCATCTTTAATCAAGAGTCAAAAGCATGTAAGCATTTTTGGAAGGACAAATTGAGATGAACAGTTAACGATGATGTTTTTAGTCACAATTCAAAAGATTAAAGCACACATATTCAAAATTCTTATTCTTATAACAATTGCGTTTTTGTTCGTTTGTTTTTGTTTCACAGCATCTTTTTATTGTAATGTTTGAAAATGCATTGATGTCCAGTATACATACAAGGTTGCCAAAAAAAATTATGAATATAAATCATACCAAGCTTTAAAAATCTCACCGAAATTGACCTAAGTAAGATATCATACAATATGTTGTCTCTTATAATTAACAAGTAATGCAATTGCAAGCTGTCAGGAGGCGGTGGAAGTCCTTTAAATACAGGTCAAACTACATGAGAGCAGCCACAAGATGGCAGTGTCATCTTCACAAAACCCCAGATTTCCTCTCGTGTTCGGTTCCCAGTGGAAATGAATAGCTCAGTCATTCTTGAGAAGTGGGACAAAACAGGGTGCAAAATTGAAAAAATAAAACCTTGTACTCAGATAAATGAAACTACATTTATGTATCTTATATGTACTAAGCTACCGAGCTATGCTTTGATACAACCTCCCAACTTTTCTCTTTTTTAACAAAATGTGCTTTTTTACCTTGGACTGTGTAATATAATTTCAGCTTTATCTTTAACAGCAATCAAGATGTTTTTAACATTTCGAAACACATTCTCGTGTTAGCAGACAGATTACACTTTCACATGTGACCAACAATTCCACAACAAATATAAAATATCATAATGAAATATTATCCAAATATTCAACTGACGGAGGTGACGAAAAGCTGAAGTTGTAGTCATTTTAACTATCAAATACATTGAATCAGTCAATTGCTGTATTAAAACAAACACAACAAACAGTGAGTATGTTATTGTTTATAAAGCTTTTATTCAAGAGTCACATTGAAGTATTTTGATATACCATTGGAACACAAAATCTTATGGTGGTGACAAATTTGCCATTTCTTTCACAAAACCAATGGAGTTCATGTGGTAGCCATTTTATTTTTTTCTGTTGATGCTAGATGCTAATGGAACCTGCTTCAGGAGAATACAATTATCTAAATATTTCAAATAATTTCCTCAGAAATTGGAAGATGGTGTTGACATATCATGGCTGTGACACAGGAAATATTAACATTAGGACTTAGCAGAGCCTGTCTGACAGTGATGTACTCTGCAGAGGTGAACTGTGGCAAGGGGGACCTTTAGAGTGACAGCTGCCCCTGATATTCCCTGATTTTATTACATTTTATTGAATGTCTGACGGTGAAAAAAAGTGGGGACGCAACTTTAAAATCTTATGAAACATGCACGTGTCATTAAAAAAACAACCTTGCTTTGATAGGAGATATTATTAAGTGTTGCTTTTGATAAAACAAGCTCTTTTTCATCATTAAAAAAACATTTTTATCCATTTTATTGCATATGAATGATTGAACCCTTCTCTGTGGACACACTGTTTTAGACGTAGTGAGAGGACATTAAGAAACACAGATTTGGTATAATAATGAGAAAATTAAATTGAAGGTGATAATTGTGTTAAATACATTCTATTATTAATCCCCCATGACATTTAAAATTGAAAATATTTTTATTTTTTTAAAGCTAATAGCAGTTACCCTTGCTGGACCTGTTTTGTCCCACGTCTGAAGAATGACTGAGCTAACATAAAAAGCTATGGCTCATGTTTGTTCATTTCCCTGTGGAAATAGCCTTCGCAAAACTAATATAGGCTAGCATAGTGTTTTTTTTTTTTACTGGCTCTTTAATATTATGATTTTACAGCTTCTAACTTACTTGGCTACTACTTTGGTAGTTTTTTTGAGTGGAGATATACATTTTGGAGAATAGGGTTATCTGTTGGCTCATAGTTTATCTTGGGTTAGTTATTTAGCCTAATCATTGTTACTGTAAAGTTTTTTATTTTCATATTTAGCCTATAGGGTCAACGTAACTGACTGGACAAATTCAGGATGCGACCTGTAATAACTGCCACCCACATAATAGCAGCCACCTAAATGCAAAAAAAAAAATAGGTTGGTTAGCACTAGTCTATGCCGTTTTTGTAGGCTATTAATAGTGTGATTAGTGTGTGTGCACAACGATTATTCCATAAAGAAAAAGTGCATTCCACATGTCCGGATGATGGAGGGGGAGAGGCTGTTATAGATGTTGGATGACAAAATAATCTTATATAATAATTACACTAGACGTCTGAGTAGTTTATGATCGCACCCAAATGGATGCCGTCGTTAAAGGCCACGCTGACCCTGCCAAAATGGACCTGGATCAAACAGTGCCTAGATGAAGTGCATAGCGTAGTCTGCCATTTGGGACACAACCTGTCTCTCATCACTCAACGCATTATGGTGCTGCTTTCATTCAAGATTTCTCACCATGTCATATGCATTAGCTAAATGTAGCTTATTGAAAAGGTCCGTATCTGATTAAGTAAAAAATTCACTACTAAAATACACTCAAACACGGGAAAATGAGCTTAATTTCAAATGTCATGCAACGCAGTTTCTTGCCTTGTTGTGGAACTAATGTGCTCATGTTATCAGTGTGCTGTCGCGCATGTCAACCATAGACTGTATAAAAACAGATGTAACGCACGGTAAACCGTTTCCCCCAGATACCCGGGGAAGTTACTTCTAATGTACAAATCCATGAATATTTAATGAGGTAGAACCGAGGCTGTTTATGATTGGTTGTCTGTTGCTAAACAACTGTGCATCTTAGGGGTCAACCCCTCTAAAAGCTCTATGCTCTGAATCAGAATGTCATGGTTAAAAACATGTTTTGCCCTGCTGCTGTTTAAGTAGACAGGGTTAAGTGTGCTGTGAAAGACCACGTAGGCTATTGTTTTTGTCTGAAAGCGTGCTTTATGCCACGAGTGAACTGCACTGCAGTGCAAACTAAACGCCACCACTGCATAGTGCACACCTGTCTGTCGACCGCACTAAATGAAAAGCGCTCGGCACATGGATCGTGTGTAATAAGACTACACTTCCCATGATGCACCGCGCTCGCGTCGTTCCGCTGCTGTCACTTTGCCGATGCGAGAATCGCCCAGCAGCATCTCAGCCGAGCGCCAGCGCAAAAATGCACTGAAATACGCATTTTAGGACATTTCCACCCTCGTTCGGTTTGCCATGAGGGCGTGTGATGGGAATAACGGGGATGTTCGCACCGGATTACGTCCCTTTATTCTGAGAGAAAAGCGGATTGTTTTGCGCTCGAGGTGTTAACGCAGAAAAAAAAATACAAAAATGAAGAAGCAATTCAATCGGATGCGACAGCTTGCCAACCAGACTGTTGGCAGGTGAGCGCTATGATCTTAAATACGATCGTTTTACACCATGACGAAGTTTATTTATTTACTTATTTATTTGCAGAAAAGAATCCCTAACTCACATATATTTTCCCATTCAAACTTTCGTTATTTTCTAAATATAGCCTGTGCATGCATATTTAATTTTTTTTGTAGCCATTACTACTAATAGCGTCTAGCTATTGCGCAATGCATCTTAAAATAGCATTATCACACCCATGCAATATTAGGCATCATTGTTATAAAGGCATGATTGGAGGTTGTGCATGCATCCGTGTGTTGTGCGTAACGGGTTCACTGCAGAGGCTTTTCTTCTAGCAAAATGCTTCTCGGAGGTTCCCCATGGCACTGACACTACACCTCCTGCACATGCCTCCAGCATGCATTTCCATCAAATGCAGCGTAATGTAGCACTGTATCAGCTCACGTTGATTTGAATGAGAGGTGTGAGAATGACATGTCTCTAGTGCCAGCTGATGCGGATGGATGCGGATGAGAGGAAAATGGCAAAGGCGCAATGTTTTCATTGCACACTGATCTCTGAAAAAAAGAGAGGAGGAGTTGGGTGCAGTACATCAGCAAGATCTGTCAGTGATGGAGAAGGTCATCATTGCTTCAGAAAGCACGGGTTCGAGTTTCCAAATCCAGTTCATTATAGTGTGGATAGCGAAAAAGTTGCTGCAGGTTTTTTTTCTTGCTTATCCCATTTATCTTGTTTATGCTGGAGTGGGTGTGCGATGCTTGACCTTTCACATGTTTGGATTGTTCTTTACGTTCTTCGCTCACCCACCTCTCTTCTTGTCATGCACGGGGCGTTGTGAAAGGCCAGAAGGAGTGTGTCGCTATCGGGCGGCTCCTTGCTGGGTGATTATACCACAGTGCTGTGGGTCATCATTTCAAATCCATTCTCAGTGGATGAGTAAGGGAAGCTTCTCTTTTACCTCCTCTGGCTGGCATCAGCAGGCCAGTGGAAAATGGCAAGCCGAGCTCCTCCAACCTGTTCCAGCATTGCTCAGGGCATGAGATTGTGTGTGTGTGTGTGTGTGTGTGTTTGTGCGTAAGCCCTGCATTAGTATTCTCTACCTTTCCCTGGTAATGTCCAGGGAACTGTGGCAGCGGCCCACTGTGGCATTCTGTCTGTTGCTGCATGTGCGGTAATGAGAAACAACATGTTTCCTAAACAACGCAGTGTACTGACTCATTAATAATATGTCCCAGGGTCTGGGAGGGCACACTGGACTGATGTTTGCTTTGGAAAATAGATTTGCGTGTTCCTGTCATGTTTTAGAAGTACAGAGTCACATCTCCCAATATCAGCTGAGAGTTGCACTTAGACACTGTGTTCACGACCTTGACAGACTCGTGCAGAGGTATTGCAGTGCAAGAGATGATCCATGACTCTTGTTACATCACTGACTTTTGTTGTCCATTATCAACACCAGTTTTCTTTGCGAATATTTAAAGTCAGCATGAAATCAATATAGCTTTTATTTTCTTAATGTGTGTTACTGATCTTATTGTGAACAATTTTTAATGCAGATGTATTTGAATTAAAATTTGAATTGAAATGGCATAACTTGTTCTTCCTGTGATATGATCGACTTCTCTCTGCTTATGCATGCAGTCAAGCCAATCGCATTCAGATCTACCTTCATTTCAGTATTCAATGCTCGCTTTTCACTTTAAAGGGTTAGTTCACCCAAAAATGAAAATTCTGTCATTAATTACTCACCCTCATGTCGTTCCAAACCCGTAAGACCTTAGTTCATCTTCGGAACACAAATTAAGATATTTTTTATGGAATCTGAGAGCTGTCTGACCCTCCCATAGACAGCAACGCAACTGAAATGCTCCCAAGTCCAGAGCGTAGCAAGGAGATCTGTAAAATAATCCATGTGACTTCAGGGGTTCAACTGTTCTGTGTCAGCTGCTTCACGCCGGATCTGTTTCCTACGTTGCTGTGATTTGATCTGAACGAAAACAGCGTATCCGTGTGATGCAGCTGACACAGAACAGCATACACTGTTTACGTCCAGTGGATATTCTCCAAAATGGCATGACGCGGAGACGAATTGTTGAATAAAGTCGTTTTTTTTTTCTTTTGTGCACAAAAAGTATTCTCGTAGCTTCGTAAAATTACGGTTGAACCCCTGATGTCACATGGATTATTTTACAGATCTCCTTGCTATGTTTCTGGGGCTTGGGAGCATTTCAGTTGTGTTGCTGTCTATGCAGGGTCAGACAGCTCTCAGATTCCATAAAAAATATCTTAATTTGTGTTCCGAAGATGAACGAACGTCTTACGGGTTTTGAACGACATGAGGGTGAGCAATTAATGACAGAATTTTCATTTTTGGGTGAACTATCCCTTTAAAGTTGACTTGAAACAGAAATTACAATCGTTGTTCTTTTCATATTATGATGCATTTTCAGTTATTTGATTATTTTCTGTTTGTTATTTTCTGATTATTTTCGGAACTTCATCAACGAAAACTCCAAAAGTACTAAAAGTGTTTATTGTTAACAATGAAAAGTCTTTATATAATACTTACAAAACAGCAGACTCCGACTCAAAACCGTGAAAGCAACATTTTAAATGAATAACCTACCATTCAGAACTTTGGGGTCGGTAAGATTATTATTTTTTTAATGAAAGAAATTAGTACTTTTAATCATCAATTAAACATTAAATGAGACAAAAAATAGCAGTAAATACATTTATAATGTTACAAACGATTTTTCTATTTAAAATAAATGCGGTTTTATAACTTTGTTCATCAAAGCATCCAAAAATTCAACGTTTTGACAAAAAGAAATTAAGCAGCCCAACTGTTTTCAATATAATAAGAAACAAGCTGCAAATATAGCAAACATATTAGAATGATTTCTGAAGGATCATGTGACACTGAAGACTGGAGAAATTATGCTGAAAATTCAGCTTTGCATCACAGGAATAAATTACTACATTTTAAAATATATTTAATGCAACCTTGCTTTCAAAAACATTACTAAATACTGACCCCAAACTTAAATGATAGTGTTATTCAAACCAAATTCTGTTCGACGAGCCATGTTTGAAGCCATTGTAAATAGCGTAAAATACACAAGATAGTTGATAATCCATATAAATGTATAGCAGCCATAAACAACTAAACTCCTCTTCATGTTGTATCTAACAAACATTTCTATAATCAGTATGTACTGCCATACTGCACAGGCCTAGTGTATACATTTGTATTTATGTATTTGACATTTGTCCAGATGCTTTTATAGCTGTGTCCCCCATCCTCCCCGCTGTTTTCATTTCTCATCATTTGTAAATCACTTTTCCTCTTGCCCACTGTGATGAAAATGACTACCCCCTGCTCTGTGTGCATTTGTGTTGATCTGGCTCAGGGGCCAGTATTTGTGTTCTTTCTCCGTGTTCTCATTGTGACTATATTTCTAGTCCTCTCATTCATGTTTTTGTGGCAGTGAGTGTTTGTGAGGGTTTTTGGTGGGGTTGTGCACTGCCTGTAGTGTTTTCTCTCTCAGGAAGTATGGCAGCCTCCCTCTTCCTTCAGAACTGCCAGCTTGTTGTTACTGGGAACAGTATGTTGTAAGGAGTCGTGTGTGTTTTTCGCCGTCAGCAGAGAGCTTGGGAACAGTGTGTATGTTGATTAATGGCCCTGCGTTACAAACGTGCTCGCTCAACAGGGAGTGCCCACACATTGCAGGGAATCCTTTCTTTTATATACACCAAACACTTATATTTAAGGGGGTTTATATCTTTGGCCGTTCATTCACACAACAATGGCGTTTTTGGGTCCACGTGTTTCAAAGTGCAAGTTTTTGAAAACTATACTCTTATCGTCTCTTTGTAAACTACCAAAAACGAATTTGTGAAAATGTTGATTTCATGCGCATGTGTTTTATATGTTCACCAACTATAGTGGCCTAATGCATAATACGGTGTTTTTAGTCATTTTTCGTGGATCTGTGTAAACAGGGATCGTTTTGACAAGTTGACAACATGTTGTCTGTAAAAACTTTACAGCAGAAAAAAACATGTTTACAGCCTGGTTCAAAAAATGATTTTGGTCTATATAGCTAATTTTGCCCTTGATGACAACTGTGAGGGGGCGAATTTTTTTATAACTCATCCGTTTAAATTATATTAAGCCTTAACGTTCTGCATAATTAAGGGCATGGCCACTTGAGTGACAGGTGGATTGCCGCTGCTGTCACCACCGTCGAGCTAGGTGGGCATGGCTTCAGCAACCTGCTCCCACCTCTTTGCCCATTTTCGATTTTCCGGGAGTGACGCGCGGTGACGCGTTGCCAAGATGGCGACGGCTGCCTCCGCCCAATTTTGAGCTTCAAAAACACTCTTCGGAAATCTACGGGTGACGTCACGGACACTACGTCCATGTTTTTATACAGTCTATGGTTGTAGTACATCGTTTTCGCGTAAAATCGCCATACTCTTAGTTGATTCAAAACTACACCTAAGTAAAACTGAGGTCTGAAGTATAGTTCATTTGAACTGTGGATTCCTTCAGAGTCATTAACTTGTCACTGTCACTAGTACTCATGGTGGTACTTTTGTTGATCATTTAAATATACTGAAGTTTGAAGACAAATAATATGGCAAAGGCCTGTGAGGACATAAAGAAGAGTTTAAACCAAGCAATCAAACAGGGCTTCACTATAGCATACAGAAAAGCAAACCCGTTTCTTATGATCAGATTGAGACTCATTACACATGCTGAATTTCTCAGTAGCTTCTTGATTTTGCAGATTTATCTTTTTCATTGAAGATCAAATTAATTTGGGCACAATGTGTGCTTGATTTAAATTACTCGTTGAGTCTGCACCTGCATATGTGTTGTGTATTGAGGCAGATTGAAAATGAAAGGTACGGTGAGTGACGATAAAAGGTCAATGCTCTTCATCTGCCAGTGTAATTATAATTTCTGTGAAAAACACTGAAAGTCAATGGTGTTTAACTG